ATTCTCTTGTCAGCACGAAATGGTCATTTCCTTCTCAAGCATGAATTTGGATTAAACGCTCACTTAATTTGTAATGCTGATATTGAAGCTTCTGCAGCTTATTTAAATTTATGTTTCATCTTGTCTAATCTTATTTCCATCAAACAGGCTTACATATACCGTCATTTGTCTGACACATTTTCCACTGGTCACACGTCTGAGTTTGCTCAGTCAATCAAAAATCGACATTTTGAAGGAAAAGAATTGAAGACTAAGGGACGTCTCATTAGTATCGGCTTCGAGGAGATCCAATCGTTACAGACTGTATGTAACCACCCTTGCCTTATGTTGGCAAATCCTCGTCAGTCTGTTTTGCTTCATCGGGCCATGGAAAATATCCGTAAGCGTGGACTTGTTTCCCTTTTGAACTCAGGCCTTGCTAGCAATTCTTCACCACTCGAACATGCCGGTAGCTCATCTGAGGAGGCTGATGCCAATGCGATTTTTGGTGACGAGGAAGTGGAGGAAGAGCAAGATGAAGAAGAAGCAGAACAACCCGATCGTTCTTATACTTCGGAGGCATCAGATGACGCTCGCTGGCTGTTGTGTATGGACACAGTGGCTATGAGCGGCAAGTTGTTGGCACTCTGGTTAGTCACATCAAAACCTCACATATCGGCATTATCATATTGCACTAGCCAGACATTTTCCTTGACGGCAATGCATTTAGAACAGTGTATTATAACTAATACTTGTTGAAGCATTAACGTCAATACTTTATGAATATGTCTTCATGTATTTTCCTATCTTCCTTTATTATTCACTCCCTCTTCAGTACGGCTAGGATTAACAAACCAAAACTAAAATAGGCGTGATTAACCTACTTTGTCTCAATATGAGCTGGAAATGCATGTTCTAGACGAAATTATATCCTAGATATGAAGACCAAGATGGTATGGTCGCTTTTCTACAAATCATATCTTTTTTTGGAAGTATTTACAACTATTGATCTCAGGTTGCTTAATTTTCTTGGGTGTTAGTCTATAAATCCGGGCGAATGCTATTTACCTTGCTTTATCATCGTTGTGATCTCATCTGGTTCTTGTAGAGGACTAATACCTAGCCTCAAAATATCAGTTAACTACTAATATCCGTTCTCGTGTCAACACGTCCCAGAGTACATGATTATAAAGGAAACACATGTCTCTTGTGTCATCTGTGCAATGCACTTCTGATATTTATCGAGTCCTCTTCTTCCTTCTGGTCAGTTAATTAAATAAAAACCGAAGCATTGAAACGTTTTCCACTATTATATTACTTTCGCCACTAACTTCTACAAAATTTTTCTTTTGTATGGCTCAAGGAAATAGTGGAATTTACATGTGTCCAACTGCATTTAGTGCTATCAAATTCAGAATACTCGGATCATAAATAAATGTGCTATCTCTAATATAGCACTATCAAAATAATCTAGCATAAATATTGATTAGCTGGCCGATTTTATATATATCTTTTTC